TGTTGCTGTTGTGGTACCTGGCACCATTTTTTCTATTAGCCTCTAAATCATCATCTAGAAAAAGAACATTCTAGAGTAATACCATTAAATGTAGCTCTGATAAAGCACGGTCCCTACTATGTATCATAAAGCAGGTACTAGATATTTTACATTCATAGAGGTATGATACAGTACTGTCCTACATCAATAATACTAGATTCAGTTTTGGTTTGAAATTTACTTTGCCTGCAAATAAGATTGCTACCCCTGTTTTTTTCTGGGCTCCTGTCACGTGGAGAATTGTTTTCTGTCTTTTCACTTTCAGTATATGGGCTTCTCTTTGCACTAGGTGTGTTTCTTGTATGCAACATATTATTGGATTTTGCTTCTTATTCCATTTTGCCAGTCTATTTCTCTTGATTGGTGAGTTGAGGCCATTGACATTGCTGGTTATAACAGATATGTACTGACTTATTATTGACATGTTATTGGCCTTTTGTTGACTCTTTTTACTTTTTCACCTTCTCCTTTTAATTTCTTGCCTTGCCTATTTGATTTGCTCTGTTGGGCCTCATGGTGTTGTTGCCTTCATTGTCTTTTTCTAGGATCTTGTTTAGAATTGCTTGTAGTGCTGGTTTGGTATTCATGTAGTTTCTCAGGTGTTCTTTGTCGTGGAAGTGTCTTATTTCCCCATCCATTTTGAAAGAGAGTTTTGCTGGATACATCAGTCTAGGTTGGAGGTTGTTCTCTTTTAGTACTTGAAATATCTCATTCCAGGCTCTCCTTGCCCCAAGGGTTTGTGTTGAAAAGTCTGCTGTGATTCTGATGGGCTTTCCTTTGTATGTGATTTGTTTCTTTTCTCTTACTGCTTGTAGTATTTTGTTCTTCTGTTGGGTTTCTGGGATCTTGATTATTATATGTCTAGGTGTAGATTTTTTTTGATTGTAGCTAGTTGGGGTCCTATATGCCTCAGTTATCTGAATGTTGAATTCTTCCCCTCTGGGAAGTTTTCTGTCATTCTGCAAACAGCTTTTTTAAGTCATTTGTATTTTCTCCTGCTACTTC